AAATTACAATCAAACAACTGCTGTTTGAAAATTCTTTTCATAAACCACTTTTTGTCTGGAATCAGTTATATGCCTTTCTCACACAAGTCTCCCTGCACGTTTTGTTGATCATGGAAACATCAAAAATTCACAAAAAAATTATGTGTTGTAACATTTGAAATGTCACAAGAACATATTTAATTGTTCTCAATTAATATCATATATTTTCGACTCATTTAAAATCTAAGAGCTCGCGCGTTCCTACTCCTTATGCCTTTACCTGCTCTAAATTTAAAATACTATTCCGTACACCTGGCGACATCTATGATTTTCTGACTAGTTTCCTAACCTAATACCGAAAATTATGTTATTGAAAGGTGGTTTCGATTTGCTCACTCCGGTGCTCCGAGTGACTCCATTCGCACTCCCGCCAAACCGAACCAAGGTTCTTCCAATGAACTATAGCTAAAAACTGGAATGCGCACACATTGCCATATCTGCCAAAAAAATGAAGCCATGAAAGACAGATGCCACAAGGGGGAATGTTGTTTTTTTCTGTTGCTCGCTGACATATGACGTTTTCGAAAGTTTTGTCATATTTCCCTTCACAGGTTTCATCAATTGGAATACGTGTTGGAAGCAATTTTCGCCATTTAACATAATGAGTGCGACAAAAACAGGTATCTCCTCCGCAGCAGCCGCACTAGGCTTCAAGTTCGTCCTTATGTGTTAGCATTACAGTTTTTGGTTATAGTTCATTGGGTTCTTCATAAGAAAACCCGTAGCACTGTCATTTTTATAATTTTGACAGGCTTAAAAGAGGAAGAAAGACACAACCACAGTTTGATACTTTTGACTTTTTTTTTCGATTTTATAGTTAGACTGAAAAGGTCGTCTCTGAGGAAATCCAAAAACTTTGGTTTTCATTCTTGGCCATCGAGCCCAAAATTGGATAAGTTTAACTAGCCAGAGGAGTGAGTAGTTGTGCCAGCTGGAACGTTTCCTGAAAAATCAACAGATTGTTGATTTTTGTGTAAATTTTTGAAAGTGAGGTTAATTATTCGGCGTTGAGGCAATTTGGGAGAGTAGTAAAAATCCACGCCTACACTTCTGGGTGAAAATTTGACGAATTTGAGACCATGCTGTACTGCATTTCCAAAGCAAGTCTGGGCCCCCTCTACAAGAAAAGTTGTGTCTTGTAAGAGATTGATCCCCGATCATTGGATGATTGCCTTCCGTCAGTTAGGTGCTTCTGGATCTCAAATTCATGAAAGCTTCCACGGATTTCGTCCAGGCTTGTATAATTACTTACCTAGGGGTCCCGTTTATGTGCCTTATTAATTACAGTTTCTTGATATTATCTCTTTTCTACCACTTCCTATCAATTACCTTTATTAGCTAATTATTATCTTTATAATATTAATTACTGTTAATTATTATTATCTATTCCTTATCGCTTACTATCGATTAGCTTAATTAGCTAATTCATAAATGTATAAAATCAATTACCGACTCATTTACCGTATTGTAGTATTTAGCTAGAATAGCTAACTACAATTTAAATATAATTATCCATTCAATTAATTAATCATTATCATAATTATCTTTTACTTTTATTATTGTTTTCTCAATAATTGTTTATTTTCAATAAGTGTGCATAATTACAATTATTATAAATTTTGTTTCCTCTATATCGGGTACTGATCGATATAATATGAGTGGGTGCATTAATCTTTAAAAGGTTGATTTAACTTCTGATTTCAAATCAATGATGTGGTAGTTCTACAAGGTGAACTAATGTAAAATCTTTAGGTAGTCAAATTTAAGTTTTATGGTTACCTATTTGAACTTTAAAGGTAAGAGCTCTTCCGGAAACCGTGAAGCCTTGATTTCATGTAGCAGGTTTTTGATATTTATAACTGCCTAAGGATTATTTATTACCTTTCTGCATTGAATAAATTGTTTTCTATTGATTTGATTGACTTTGGGTCAAAAATTAAAGGTTAATGATATTGTGACTCCATCATTTGTACTTAGGTAAATTTTATCATGGGTATCAATTGATTGTTTTTAAATTTCAATCTTATTATACTTACTGTTAATACTTATATTGGGTTTTGCTTTTGGAAAGCTGCTTAATGATTTAAAAAAAAAAGACTTGGATACTAGACAATAATTTTCTTTAAAAAAAAAAAAAGTTCGCCATCTTGTCACAAATTTTTAATGGCATAACCATAGAACAAAGTTCGCCATCTTGTCACAAACCTTTTTAATGACAATTAACTTAAATAAATAATTGTGTTTAGAATTCCAAAGCTTGTGTTTTTATTGAATGGGTTGAATGTCAGATAGCTATTGGATTTTGGATTTATTTTACCTTTTCAGATGTTTTTTTTTTTTGAATTTATCTTTTTAAACAATAACTAATTAATGGAATAGTGCCTAGTTTGGCTATTCCTTGGTAATCAAAATTATTTATACAAACTAGTGGCGCCCTCTCTCTACTGTACCAGCACCAAGGACCACCCCAAGCTAAACTACCACTGAGCAATAGTCGAGCACAAATTATGAACATTCTTTTGTTTCGACAAAAGAGCGTTACAGTGTATATTGGCAAATTAATAGCCGGTTTCCCAATAGCAAGTCACCCCCGGGTTAAGCCTAACGCCAGGGTGAACATTGCAACTAGACACATTTACCCTGGACTTAAAACCAACTCGGAGGTGACTCGCTATTGAGAAATCGATACTATACAACAAAAAATGGCTGAGACAATAATTGAATATACGTGGACTCGTTTCAAGCCTAAAGAGTTTCAAGCAACTCGTGAATGAACTTACGGATTATGGGTACACCGCTGCTCACCAAAGGAGTCAAATAAATTAAAATGTACTCATTAGAAGAGAGATAAACGTAGGGTGTTATAATCACATATCAAAGTTTTCTTTTAAAAAAATACAGTATGTTCTACCAACACAAAAGCCCTTAAAATAACAGGATTTTAGAAAAAAATCGAAATTTCATTAACAAAGAGGAATATCAAAAATTTGTGGAATAATTTTTTTCTTTATAAATAGGAGACTTAAAAAATGCCAATAAAAAATATTTAGTTTTTGTTTTGTGGAAACCTGGTACTTCCAAATTTTGAATAAAAAAACTTTATTCTCTTTTTCACCTTGTAAGAGGCCTCAGAACAGACAATTTTGAACCAAAACAGCGTGTTTAGATATATATAAATTATTTTTTATCGTAAACCGCTCATCGATATCTTTTATAGTTTGCGTGATATTTGAATCCAAAGTTAACGTAAACGTAAAAAATTGCTTGTTCCGTTTTATTTGTCCAGCAGTTTATATTGTTACCTATTAAGCGTTTGCTAATAGTCAGTAACTCAATCGCCCTTCCTAAATAGCCATAATTGATTGAATCTACTTTAAAGTGAAATGAATTTGAAAGCAATAAAAGGCTTCGAATGGTCCACAATGTTCCAGAATGCTCCTAAACGTTCAAAAGTATTCTGGAATGTTCCACGATGATCTGGGATGTTCTCGAACATTCCACAACATTGTACACGCACATTGTACATATTCTTTCACAATGTATATTGATTAAAAAGGTCGAATAGAATGGAATCTGGAAAATCCTGAAAGAAGAGACAATTTTGAGAAAAAAACATCTAAAAAAAAGAGTACAACGATAAATCCAGAATGGTCTATATTTATTCAATTTGCCTTGGACAATAGTTGTTTGAACAACAAGTGTTGAAAACGACTTTTTTCGCATGGCCAAGACAGTTTGTTGGGCCGAGCCGTAGGCGAGTTCCACAAGTCGAGCGAGTGTGAAAAAAGGTTTTCAAACGAGTTTTTTACAATGTTGCAAAATAACACAACCAAATATATAATTTTTATTTGTTAGAGAACAAATCATCAACATCAAAAATTGATGACAATCGCGATTTATGTGATGTCATGTCAGGATGATAGGACCAAAATAAATAACAAACTAATTAGCAGTGTGTGAAAAGCTTTTTCGCACGCCGTGTGAAAAACTCTATTTTCAGAGGTTGCATAGCGTGTGAAAAACTCCATTTTCGGATGCAGTTGTAGGGAAAATTGTTTTCAAGGTTGACTTCAAAATTTGGTAAAAGTATAAGGTTTGAAAATTATTATCGCAAAAAAATACGGGCAATAGGTAGCTGATAATCGAATTCTAACCTAAACGATAAATAATATAAACGTGCAGATGCGGAATGTCCAAGATTCTTCCTTCACCTAACTAATTTTTCTACTTTGACAACATTTTGAATAAACTTACAAAAAAAATGTACCAGCATAGGTTTAGGTTCACACACAATTGCATGATATTAGTAGGTACTTTTTTTTTCCTGGGATAGGCTATTTCCTGTTCTTAAATTTAACCGTCTCGCACCTGTTAAAAATTACTCACACCATTCATATAAACACAAAGACAAATATCCTCAGGTCTAAAAGAAGAAAAAACAAAAATTTTTGTAAGTATTCGCGAACGAATCGCGTGTTGGAGGCAAAGCACGCGACGTAATAACAAGTAAAAACACTCTCTTCTTTGCCCTCGCGAATCTCATTTAAAACTGAACACTATACCCAACTGACTACCAGCAGTTTTCACACAATTGTTTGGGAAACTTTTTCCCATCATTATTATTGAGGTCTAATTTTGCATTTGTTACCGAGTATATATGGGTGGAACTTGAATTGGTTTTCGGGGCCAATGCAATGGGAACTTTTTTCTTGTGTTTTTTTTTAACGGATTGGGTAAGTTTTGTGTTTATCCAATGTCAATAGAAAATAATGCTAGGTAATTTACAAAAAAAGTTGAAATGGACAAATTAATTTTACAATGTGTTTTTGGTTTCTTCTTCAACCTTGTTGAAGATTATAATAACATTGACCACAATTACAGTTAGCTAAACTGTAATAAATCGTCTTCTTTAGGAAAAAGGAAAATGGTGAGTTAACAAATAAGTATTATCAAATCCTTACCTCACTGATACATTCATCCTACTAGTCTCGTTGCTCAAAGCTCCCTCTTCAAAATACTTAAAAATCCGTCTACACAGTCTTGGGGTCAATCCTGGATCGTGAGGTAGTCCCATCATGGTGTGAGTTTTTCCAGAAGACGTTTGTCCATAGGCTAGGACGCAAGAGTGGTTGCGGCGTTTCAGGGAAGTACCGACAATATTTTCTACGGTTTCGAAGATCTACAATAGAAATTTGATAATACGAACAAATTCTACATGGTGATTATGATAATACATACTTGATCTTGGGTTGTATCCTCGGAAAAACAATAATCAAATGCAAATCTTCGTACTCTTTCTCTGCTATCTCCGGCGTTTTGTTCTGGAACCTATAATAAAAATAAAATATTCTTATTAATAATAAATACCTAAATAATTGAAAGGGCCTTTCTGCATCAATTATCAATTGATTTCGCTTCTAAATTAGTTACCTATCATCAACGAAAAGACCAACATCTAGCGGATACTGTTTCACGACATTCCAGAACTCACTACAGATGCCAACCATGTCGATATTCAAAATATTTAAAGCTGGATAAATTAATTTATGAAGTTTTGTTCGTCCGTCGTTCAACTTAGTTTTATGGAGACTCCCCTATGGTAGCTTAGAAGAATCAAATTTGCAGTTGCATCCCCCTATATGTACGTAGAGCCCTAAACGTGAGAATCATGTGGCGCACCTACGTAGTGCCTCTTTGGTGATGTACCCACTAGTAGACAAGATATTGTTTGCCCAGGGGATCTGAGTCTACGGAAGGAATTCGGACGTAAATGTGCCATGTTGCCACGTTTAATTATAAAAAAGCGAAAATACTAGGCATAAAATATAGTTAATTTGAAAATCCATTTTTTGATAACAAAATATTGATAACAATAATAAAACGCTAAATATTTTAACGTGGTTGTTAGACCTATCCTTATTTTAATCCTGATTTCTTCAGTTTGGTCTATTGTAAAAAATAAACATTTTTTAAAGATACCATCAGCTTTTGACAATTTGGCAAGCATCTTTCCTGAATGAATCTGATTGGTGGAGTTTTTGGCAGGATCACCGTTGTCATGGGGAACCATACGGTTGTCAATAAGCTAACGTCACCTTACGTCTCGCTATTGGCCAGGGCTCACGTCATTTTATCCTCCCATCTTGGAATATCGATTTATATTGACATATCCAGTGGCGGAGATTTGGTCATTGCTGATTTTCGTGTACGAGTTGCAATACGATAACACTTCCAAAAAGTTCCGCAGGCAGCTGGGTATTTTATGAATGAAATCAGCCATTTTTTTTTACAACTGCATTCCCCTTACCGTTGCCCCGTAGACACAGACTCGCTGGGCAGACTTTTATTAGGTACGTCAAGCTCCTTTTTTCCAGCAACGGGGAACCCCTAACCTGAGGTCCTAACCACATTAGCCGCTGGGCGTGTGACTCATAACACCACTATCCGCTTATTCAGCTTTCCAGCATAAACTACCAGTATTGTACCTATAACAGGATTGGGGATATACTATATACAGTATGTCCCGCTTAAGGACTGACCACCCTTCTAAAATTTTTATTTTTCAACCGATTCAATTCATTTTTTTTTGTCTTATAGCTACTCGAATTTGGCACTTATTAGACTTATAATTTTATTTCTGCGGCTGTACAGGGTGTCCACATTTATAGGCTCAAATTTCAATAAGTACTATTAGGAATTTTTTTAGAAAAAATCTAATAGTAGATTCTTATTTAGAATGGTCTAAAACCCAAATGTACTAATTTTTGTTCCGATTTGATACAGGGTGGTTACAACAAATTTTCAAAATTTAATAGACCAAACCGGAAAAATTTCATATTTTGAGGCCTTGAGAACAACAAAACTTGTTACAACATAGTTTAAGAACATCCCTAACCAAAATTTGTAGTAAGCTTGTCTCAAAATATAACATTTTTGTGGTTTGATTCATTAAATTGTGGAAATTTGTTATCATCACCCTGTATCGTATTGAAACGAAAATTAGTACAGTCGGATTTTAGACCATTCTAAACAAGAATCTGCGATCAGATTTTTTCTGAAAAAATCCCTAATAGTACTTATTGAAATTTGAGCCTATAAATGTGGACACCCTGTGTTCAGAATTGGTTTATGGAACTGTCTTCGAACGCACCTTACTGTGTTATCGAACGCACTTATTGAAAATGAGGATGGTTTTGTCTTGGCAACAAACAATTGCTCATTTTTTACTTTGATTGTATTGTAAAGCATTTTTTAATTTTTTGAATATATTTTATATCGTTACACATTCATTTCATGCTCGTAATTGAATCCTGCTATCCTCTTCGAACAAATTGAAGTTGAAGTTAATGCCACCAAGTCAGTCAATTCAGCAATAGGATTCGTCCCTACGAAAATTCTTAGAATTTTCGAGGACTTCCTCCATTTTGGTCCTTCGATAACCGGATCTGGTGATCCAACATCCAATAAGAAGACAGGTATTAACAGCAAGCAGAATTCCATGGCCAGGCAGGCAGAACTCCATGGCCAGGCAGTCAGAAGCTAAACAGAATAACAAAAAGACGAATGGCAAGGCAGCTATAGTCATCCAATTTGGGTATACCATTATTAAAAAAAAAGGCATTTCAATAGAGCAAACTAACAGCAGACAACATACAGAGCAGTGGTGAGTCGTCAGTTTCATTATATTCAAGATTTGCTCGTTTATTCATGCACGCTTACGTTCATTTGTGAATTTGTAAATTATTTCATCTCATTTTTCAGGTGATATTTGGCAGTGGAACACTAGTACCTATTCTCATAAGTACCTACATTTGTTTATAATGGCCGAGCAAGAAGCTAAGTTGAAAGGATTAATATCACAGCGAGGAATATTGAAAGGTCAATTGACTCGTTTTGAGACATTTTTAAAATCAAGTAATCCTGATGATAGGGTTGAACTCAGTGAACGTTTGACTAAATGCTATTCCCTATCTGACAATTTTGATGCCATACAGACCGAAATAGAACTAATTGATGCTACTCAATCTGCGGAAAGGGTAACATTTGAAAATAATTATTTCAAGCTCATAGCACAAGCGAAAAAAGTTTTAAATCCTTCAATCGGTCAACCTTCGACACTTCCAAACCTTCCACATTCAAACATTGGTAATAATTCACAAAGTGATGAGCATATTAATATAAAACTACCCACCATTGAACTTCCAATATTTACAGGGGAAAAATATTCTGATTGGCTGCCATTTTTCGAGACATTCCAGGTCTTGGTTCATAGTCACAAAAAGTTAAGCAAAATACAAAAATTTAATTACTTACAATCTTCATTGAAAAATGAGGCAAGAGAGGTTATTAGTTCACTTGAATTAACAGAGAATAATTACGATAGTGCTTTAGATCTCCTGCGTGAAAGATACGAAAAACAACGACTCATCATAAATAGCCACATCAGAAATATTGTTGATATGCAATCTCTCGCCAAAGAATCATACACAGCATTACGAAAACTGATTGACAGTGTTCAGAAGGATTTAAAAGCATTAAATTCTCTCAAAGAACCAATAGATGCTTGGGATACCTTGTTGATTTTCATTCTTAGTGCAAAATTGGACAATGTGACAAGGCGTGAGTGGGAAATTTATAGCTTGAAAGAAAACATTACAAAGTTTCAGGATTTTATCCAATTTTTGAAAAACAAATGTCAAATTTTGGAGACAATGCAGTCTACTAAAGTTGACAATAAAAACCTTACACAATCTCAGTCACATCATAATCAAAACGACCGTTTTGGTAGGTCAAATAGCAAAGTGCATGCCCATGTAGCTTATTCAAACTCATGTCCATTTTGTAATCAAATCCATAAGTTTTTTCAATGCAGAAAATTCCTAAATTTATCACCGGTAGAACGTCTGAATGAAGCCAGACAATTAAAATTATGCCTCATATGTTTATTGCCAAACCATAGAGCTGCAAATTGTTCATGGTCCAGTAAGTGCAAAACTTGTAGTGGAGCACACAACACATTATTACATTTGAACCCAAGCAGAAATCAGAACACTCACAATGTGAAATTCGAATCAAACAATACACTCAGTAGTAATGAACAGAATAATTCAAATAGATACACCCAACACAAATTCTCAAAATCAAACACGGACACTGCACGTACAATCACAAAACACATTCCCACTGTTGTCTCATGATCGATTCACCAACTCAAATTCATCATCAACTAATATGCAAAACGAAAATTCAACAAATTCTGATTCTAAATTAGTGTCTTTAAATTCATGCCATAGGAATGATGTTACTTATTTATTAGCCACAGCTAATGTTATAATTCTTGATACTGATAACAAACCTCATGTTGTTCGAGCTCTTTTAGACCCAGGTTCAATGACAAATTTCATAACCAGTGAGTTGTGTCATAAATTAAACCTTCAAAGACAGACTATCAATATGTCAATTCATGGCGTCAGTGCAACAGTATCTTGTTCTAACAGAATGACTCTGGGAACCATAAAATCTTTGTATAATTCATTTCAAACAAATCTTAAATTTTATCTTTTAAATAAAATCACAGGAGAGCTTCCTATATCATACATAGATCCAATAAATTTTATAATTCCAGAAGGTTTAAAATTGGCAGATGAAAACTTTTACAAGCCAGGCAACATTGACATGTTGTTGGGAGTGGATATTTATTATGAATTATTGTGTGAAAACAAGATGAAATTAGGAGCAACGCAGCCCTATTTGATTGAAACAAAGCTTGGATGGATAATCACAGGAAAATATGAATTTTCTAAAATCCACAATCACAAACCTAAATTAAGGACAGATGCCGTTTACACACACACAACAGCACTTCATTCACATTCAGAAATTGTCGACACAGACATAAATGCCCAAATGGAAAGATTCTGGTCGCCGGAGTTTTGACACGAAAATTACTAGGTTATGAGATGCGTTTACGTTTACCGGAACAGGGAGCGCTTTAACAGCCTTTTGGCTTCTCAACGTATCTAGTTGCGTTACGGATACCGATACCGATACCGGCGAATTATTTCAAGTAGCTTTATGTCCCTATTACCTGTGAAAGAAAGCATAAATAAACTCGGAGAAAACAAAGACATGGCTAAAGCGTTTTTATAATCTCGAAAGAAAATTGCAAAATAATTTGGAAACCAGAAAACTTTATACAGAATTTATAGATATTTATGAAAAACAAGGACATATGAGTCCAATTCCAGAACATGAAATTTAAGGCAAAAATTTGATTTATTATCTACCCCATCACCCAGTTATCAAGGATACTAGCACCACATGTAAGT